CCATAATTTAACCCGTATATATATAAATAGCCGAGAAAAATAACAGCACACGTGGCCTGACGATTGCATATAGTATGAAATTCACTTTATATATATATATATATATATATATATATATATATATATATATTGTCAGCAACCTTTCTTTTAAAATCTTTTATTGAATAGCCGAAAAGGTAGATTGAATTAAGCTTTTCCTATATCTTAATATTTTCCGTTTTGTAAATCAACGAATAAAAATTGTCCATAATTTTTATTGTCCGAAGTATGTATGTTTGTATGCACGCATCTATGTATCAATATATATGTGGTAGGTATATATATATATATATATATATATATATATATATATATATATATATATATATATATATATATGTGTGTGTGTGTGTGCTGAAATCAAAGTTGTTAAAAACCTCCTAGCAAAATCATTTTAGTCACTTAGTTTTCTCAAAGCTCTGCTACACTCTTTTGCGTCGCGTGACATTTCTTCATTAAAAGACGAACCTTAAGCAATTTTTCCTCGACTTTTCATTTCACTTTCTTATTCTTGGCCTGACATTGACTTTCAAAGGACGAAAGAGTGAACGAAAAAGAAGAACGAAAGAAAGTCAGATGACTGACAGAATTAACAACACAAAAGTGAGAAAGAAGCAAAGAAAGATATGGGCAGCAATAACGAAAGAAACAAAGAAAGAATGGAAGCTGGTGAAAGAAAGAATAAGATAACCAAAATACGAAATATCGAACGAAAGAAGTTATACGTTGAAAAATATCTTCAGTGATAATAATAATAATAATAATAATAATAATAATAATAATAATTGTCAAAGTACAAGGACCTTGAAATAGAAATCTCGAAAATGTGGCATATGGGAACATCAACAATCCCTGTTGTAGTTGGAGCACTAGGACTGGTTGGAAAAAATTCCAGTAGACTAATTGAAGGGATTCCTGGAAGTCCATGCCTCAAGAAGATACAAAAAAAGGTTCTGACAAGTACAGCCCACACCTTACGAAGGGCTTTATCTATGTATTTTTTTTTTTTTTTTTGTCATTGGAAAGTGTCATGACGCCATTTCTAACCTTAGGTCCCTGGGCGGGACCCGGAAAGAAATGTGTAAACGCCAGAAATCAAAGAAAATAATAATAATAATAATTATAAATTATAACGAAGCCCTCCATAAGAGTAATGCTGTATCCTTAAAAAGGTTACAAACAGACAAAGGTGGTACTCGAGTGAAAGGAACAGCAACACGGGCGGAGATGGAAGAAAGGGAGATTTATTGTAAAAGAGAATACACTACCGAAAGACAAAGAATTGACTAACACTTTCCGAAGCCAATTAGAGAGAGCGAGAGAGAGAGACAGACAGACTCTGGTATGTCCTGTGCACACTACATATATTACTGATATAGTCCTTCCACAATAGTCAACAGGAAGAGTAGAACACTTCGTTGCAACAAGTAACTTCAAACAAAAATTGTTTCATCAGGAATCTTCAAAAACCATAAAACTAATGGAACCAAAAAACGAAAAAAAACTGAAAACAATATGGTTTAACCTACCTCTCTGCAAACTGTCTAATTTAAATATTGGCAGATATTTTCTAAATTTAATCGCTAAATATTTTAATCAAAACAACCCTCTACCAAAGATTTTCAATAGAAAACTCTAAAAATTAGTTATACCTGCACTAACAACATACATAATATAATAGACTCACATAACAAACAAATATTAAAATCATTTTATGACGGCAGCATACCAGAAAACAAACCCTCTTATAATTGTAGAACCGGAACCAACTGCCCATTTGGAGGAATCTGTAATTCAGAAAATGTGGTATACCAAGCTATCATCTTTCCGAAAGAAAATATTAATGATAAAAAATTATACATCGGTATATCCACTGGGTTGGAAACACATACTCCACGATCACCGGCATTCTTTCTCTAATGCTTCTTTAATAAACCTCACTGTTCTATATAAGCATTATTGGAGGCATAAAGATAGAGGCTAACCCTACAAATTAAATGGGATATCATCTGTCAGTCTCAAACTCCGAACAACTTTCGGAACAGATCCAATCTATGCATACAGGAGAAAATGATAATAATTACATATAAAAATGGTGGCCAATTGTTGAATCAAAGAAATGAACTTATTTTAAAATGTCGTCATAAAAACAAATTTAGGATTCCCGAAAAACATTGACTTTGGGGGATATACACTTGAATTGTTGATTCTTATTTTATACAGGTACAAAGATATGTGTGTACGTGTATTCACATGTATTTATGTGTATATTTAGTTATATTGATTGTCACACATTTTTATATATATAAATTTATAGATATATTTAAATTATTTGTGTGATTATATTGCTGAAGCCTACATCATTTATATTTTTTTATTTCTATCTAAGCCTATAAGTATGTTGCTACTTATCTATTTTTTGTTAATTTATGTGTCAGGTCCTTTTAGAATGTGAACACTT